AATGTGTATGTGATAGAAAATAAAAGGGGAAGCATTTGAATGAGGGAAAAGACAGGGAATGAGCAGAGATTTTGAAATTAAAAACAGAATGAAAAAGACAATAAATTCAATGCAAAGTATAAAATTATTAAAGTGATAACAATAAACCAAAGCCTGTGCAAAATGTGTGGATAAGTAAACAGAAAGTGTCTACTGAGACTTTATTAAACTAAAACAGTATTATACAGACCACATTAAATCATTCTGCAATATTTTACAAAATGCTGCTCCAACACATCCTCAGTCATTGATCAAGTGCTAGGATATTGAGCCTCAACAGGTCATTCTGCTATTAAATTCTCAGAATTCTGATAGAAAGCATTGCAGTGCTTTACCTAGAGGTGGGTCCTGTCATCTCATGCAGAACTATTAAAGCCAACAGGCACTAAATATTCTCCGCTGTAAATAAACTTCAGCAAAGTATTCACACATGTAAAAAAAAAAAAAAACGTACAAAATTAAAAGGATAGATATGTAAATTGGTAAGCCGTATTAGTCCAGTAGACATGATGTCAAATAAAAGTAGTATGCAATGATACCTTTCTTATTGGACTAACATAATATTCAAAAGTCATAGATATATAATGCTTATTACAAGTATCATGAGAAAAGACATGAATATGATTCTCACACCCCTGGGTACTACCACACATCAAGAAATGAAATGAAGTTGTACAGCACAGATACAACCAAATCCATCCAATATAGAACTTTGTATATTTATAGAGTTTATGCAAACATGGGTTTCCAGCGATATTTAGCATAATCAGCCTAATCAAGCATACCTGTACAATTCCAGACATTTGTGGAATGACCATAAATAAAAATGAGCATCCTTTACCCTGGCAAAACACTCTTCCAGGACTCTGCCAAAGATCTCTGGTGAATCCACAGATGTTTTCCAACATGGCATCTTCCCCCACTTCTAGCTTCACTTCATCTACCCAGACAAAGCTAGACCTGAGCTATTTGTAGGCTTCGACAATAAGCAAAAGGCAAAAATCTTGGAATATGCCTGTGCCATCAGGGAAGAAAAAACCCATTTGTGTAAAAACTTGGTTATTCAACCTCATTTTTGGGAGACATAATGTAGCTGAACCTAGACCAATTATCCAATGGAAGGCTCTTACCTATTTGCTTAGCTAAATCCAAGTTGTGACATTTTTTTTTTCCGACAGGTAGTGTATATTCATGATAAGATACTAAGGCAATTCTAAAGCTACTTCTGTTTGAACCACCTCTTATTTTCTTGCTTCACTGATTATTGTATTTGCACTGCATAGGGAACAAAGCCAATTGTTCTATTTGTTGAAACCTGTTTTACTACTTTTTCATACCTACTTTTAAACAACTAGGCACCAGGCCTGGAGTAAAGGGAGATGGAGGAATTAAAGTGCCAAACAAATTAAAATAGTACAACTTTATTCCACTAGTGTCAGGGGAGTAAAAGGGAGGGCAGCAAACACACTGTAGGTCCCCAGAGTGACAGCGGGTGCCAGAAGCCCTGGAGCAATTATCCTGCCACTGACATTGGATACTAGGGCATTCTTTCAGCTACTGACCACCGACACCGTGGCATTCTTTTCCCACTGACCACCAGTACATACTTCTGAATAAAATCTACATTGTCTCAGCCTTTTCTGATTGCTAAAAAGTTCCCAACTATTTTAATACATTTCTTCCTTAAGGAAGGATCATACATACAATCTGTTATATGTCTATATTCTGTGAGCAGAAAAGCATACTTAGGGGTTTATTTACAAAAGGAGCCAAAAGGATATAGCTTCGGCTAATCCTTTGGCTCACTTCAGCCGCCAGAGCCCTTTGGTTCAGCCGAACCGAAGGGCTGCTGTACGGGTTATTCACAATAGACTGTACAGCAGCCAAACAGTTTAGCCGAGCCGAACGCATATGCTTCGGCTCGACTGAGCTGAAGTCACACCTGAAGCGGGGAGAACGTTCTGCCGAAGCGGAGTTTGGCCCCCTTCACTTTGGCTGGGTTATTCACTCGGCTGCCCTCGGCCTCTCTTAGATCTTACCTTTTATATTTACTTTAGGCCCCTCATATATATATATATATCTCTATCTATCTATCTATCTATCTATCTATCTATCTATCTATCTATCTACACACACACACATATATATTTATTTATATTTAACATTTGTTAAATTGGTAGAGGCGAGGTTGTGTATATCAAATGAGCAATAGAAGCCCAATGGATAAAGTCTAGAGGGCAGGAGGAAAAAGGTGACAAGGAGGGTAACATGCAGAAAAAGAAAAATAAAGCAAAAGTAAGGAAAGAGAACAATATATGGAGGGAGTTATAGAGATAGTTGGAGTAGGAGGGATGTCCCTCTTCCCCCCACACAGTGTTACAATCAGTATTATTCAGACACAAATTTGACTTGATAGAAATATTTTTCTATTCCTCATTGGTGTTTCCTTATGCTTGTTGTACAGCTCTTTTCTCAGTACAAATCTAAATATACTCCGTGGAACTCAATAAAAGTTTTGCGCCAATCTTCTGGCTGTATGGACCTTTAAATGATCCTGAGCCAAATGTAAAAGTCCTTTCCAAGTTTTTTTAGCTTTACCAACAGGAGTGACAAATTAAGGTAGTTCTTAATAGTGCCAACAAAATTGGATGTAATTAAGGCTAACTCTAAGCTTGTTTACAGAGGCAGGTACAAAGTGTAGCAGTGTGGCATGTTTGCCTGCAATATGCACTCCACACCTGTCACTGGTTGTTAAGGATGCTGTCGACTAGACAGCTGCCTCCTAGCAACCAATGATGCTGATGGTGGACGGAGCCCGATAAGAATGCCGATGGACTAGTTTGCCATCAGGTCTCCTCTGCTAGTGATTGACAGCAGGCAGTGGGTGGTTTCCATACCCAATAGCAGGCTGTCTATTGGCTATGGAATCCATCCACTGACTGCTGTCAATCACCAGGGGAGCAGACCTGATTGGGAACTAGTCCTTCAGCTTCCCCATCAGGTTCTGCCCATCCACTAGTAAAAAACAATTTGGCTGCATAACCACTGTGTGAAAGGCGCAGTGGCCATGGGAGATGGGGAGATGCACTGAGGACAGTGTCTGGTATGTCAGGAAAGAACTAAAGATAATGTCAGATGGTTTCCTTTCATTTAGAAATTATGAGGAAAATCACTTATTTGATGAATAATAATTAAGAAGTCTGTGGGACTCAAAAATCTTGTTCTGCTGGCAGGGAGACAAAGTTAGAAAAGCCTCATAGATGTCTACAGGACTGTAGGGAGAGAGA